GAATTGAGTGGTGGTGGCAGAGACTATGTGGCCCACCAAAGCTTGGTCCACTAAATCTTTGTCTCATCATTTATACAAAGTTTTGTAAGTAAAATGATTGAACCAGGCAGCCCAGGCTGAGCCCCACGCTTGTTGCATAAACAACAATCACTTGCAGCCTCTGAGTCTGCCCAGCAACTGCCAAGGGATACGCCAAAGCCCACAGGTGATTAAGCTGTGAAGTCTGGTCCTCTCTCACAAGCCTGGCATCTGGGGGCACCACGAGCCTGCTTGCTGGGGAACAAGAAGAAGGAAGTAGGCCTCCCCTCATCCAGATGCTGACTGCTCCCGAGGCTGAAGGAGGCGCATCTGCGCCCGAGATGCTGAATGCATCATTGTCCATTCTCTTGCAGACTTGGCAGGTTTCAGCATAAATTAAAATTCTTGTGGGGAGTCACCTTATATGTGGTGCGGCTTTATGGCCAAGTCATTACGGTAATTTGCAAAGCTCTCTGGTGTGTAACTGGAGCCATTCGTTTTGGGTTTGCCGGCTGTGACTTCACTCAAGCTGCCCCGACATACATTTTAGGCAAACCCCAATGTTTGGAGGTTTGTCTTCCTGGGTAGGGCCTTGAGGGCATCCAGATATGACCCTTCTCGGGAGGGACTGGTTGTCACACGAGCCTTGCCTCTCTGCCATGAGCTGGAGAGGAAATAATGATCATCACATTGCTTTTCTTTTTTGTGTGTCTATCATGGGAATTTAAGATTCTTAAAACTGTTTTTGTTTTTACTTGAAAGGCAGAGAGATAGGGAAAAAAAGAGATCTTTCATCTGCTGGTTCACTTCCCAGAAACCTGCAACATCTGGAGTTGGTCCAGGCTAAAGCCAGGAGCCTGAAACTCAGTTTGGATCTCCAGCTCGGATGGCAGAGACCAAAATGGTGGGTGTATCACCTGCTGCCTCCCAGTGTGCAGGTTAGCAGGGAGCAAAAAGTTGGACATAGAATGGAGACTTGAACCTAGGCACTCTGATTAGGATGTGGATATCCCAGATGGAGGTTCAGACTCTGCTTTAGAACCCACCCCTGGGCTGGCACGATAGCCTAGCAACTAAAGTCCTTGCCTTGCATGCACCAGGATCCCATGTGGGCGCTGGTGCTAATACTGGCGGCCCCACTTCCCATCCCGCTCCCCGCTTGTGGCCTGGGAAAGCAGTCAAGGATAGCCAAAGCCTTGGGACCCTGCACCCGTGTGGGAGACCTGGAAGAAGCTCCTGGCTTCTGACTTCGGATTGACTGAGCTCCAGCTGTTGTGGTCACTTGGAGAGTGAGTGATCAGACGGAAGATTTTCCTTTCTCTTTCTTCTCTGTATATCTGCCTTTCCAATTAAAATGAATAGATCTTAAAAAAAAAAAAAGAAGAGTCCATCCCCCTCATGACTTTTTAAATGCTTACTGTGCCAAATGCATTGTGGTCATAACCTCACTTCTCACCATGACCTGGTGAGATAGGTGTTAGCACCATTTTATAGATGAGAAAACTGAGATCTGGTAAGGAAATAAAACCACATTTTTACCTGGCTTTAACAATGCCCGTCCAGGCTCTGCCTTGGATTTGCTGTGCAAGTGGGTCAGGCCCTCGGCCTTGGTGAGCCTCACTTTCATCTGCCAACGAATCAGATGGTCTGTCAGTCACAGCCCTGACAGGTCAAGGTTTCTCACCCACTTTTGACACAGCACACAGACGCCAGCACTCTGCAGGTCTCCCAAGGAGCTTCCTTTGCATGAGGGAGATCCAGGTCTGAGGTTTGCTTCTGGCTGCTGGCTATCAACCCTTCCCAGAAACTGCTGCACCTGCCTCAGGACAGTAGAGTGAAGTGAGTAGGAGTGGGCTTTCCCATCCTGGACTTGCAATGCACGTGGGGACGAAGAGGCTGGACTCTAACAGGCAGGAGGCGTACCCTGGCCGACTTTGGCTCAGGCTGGGCAGCAGCAGTGGTGCCCATGTCTTTCAGGTAGCATCGTTGTCATGAGATGTACATAACAGCCTGAGAAAGCAGGCAGCCTGTGGGGCAGAGCCTGGCATGGGCGTTAGGAGGCCCCAGTTGAGAACGTCAGCAGTTTCTGTGAGACTTAGAGGAGCTGTCTGCCAGCTCTGATGCCCAAGTGTCCTTTGAGGAGACTGGAGGTCAAAGCTTTTGCAGGATGCTGTGAGGGTCAGCCGACAGAGGCTTATATGGGTTTAGAATGCAAGACTTTGGCCTGGCATGGTAGGTAGCCTAGCAACTAAAGTCCTCTCCTTTCATGTGCCGGGATTCCATATGGGCACCGGTTCTAATCCCAGCAGCCCTGCTTCCCCTCCAGCTTGCTGCTTGTAGCCTGGGAAAGCAGTCAGGGATGGCCCAAAGCCTTGGGACCCTGCACCCACATGGGAGACCCAGAAGAGGCTCTAGGCTGCTGGCTTCAGATATGCTCAATTCTGGCAGTTGCTGCCACTTGGGGAGTGAATCAGAGGACAGAAGATCTTCCTCTCTGTCTCCTCCTCTCTGTATATCTGACTTTCCAATAAAAATAAATAAATCTTTTAAAAAATGCAAGACTTTCAGGTCCTCTCTTCCCAGATCAGTGTGAGCTGCTTATTACAGGAAAGTCTCTGCTGTGTCCACGGGGAAGAAGCTGACAGGCCCCAGTCATTATTTGAGAGATCACTCTTTTCACGGAGATGATGGGCTTGATCTTAGCTCAGCCCATCACTCCCTGTCTGATCTTCTTTGAAGACCCTGAGTTTGCTTGAGATGCCTCAGGATATCTTTGAAGTCCAAGAGAGCTGGGTTTGAGTTTGGGTTGTGGTCCTGCTTCTTACAGACCCCCGAGCTTGGTCAGAGACACCTGATGTTTCTGAACCTTGACTGTTTTCATCTGTAGGATGGCTGTACTTGGCCTGCCTCGGCAGTGAACACTCAGAGGGCTTGGTGGATGCTCGGCTCCCCTCCTGTTCCCAGCAGGGTTCTGAAAAAAGCTCAGACCTGTGTCCACCCCGCCGACTCCAGGAAAAAGACCCTGGCAAAACGGTCCTGCGTGATGATTAAGCGCTCTCTGCTCCAAATGCTATTAATGGTCATAAAATTATCCACAGTTTTTTGAGGCCCAGTCCCAGGGTCTGCCTCAATGGGACAATAAAATAGCATGCAGAAACGATTTGGAGAAGGCGAGGCCAGCCAAGTGGAGATGGAGTCAAATGAGCTGCAGCCTGCTCTCATTAACTTGGGCCATTCACATTTGTTACCAGGGATTTCTTTTTAATTAAAAAACAACCACGTTATTAAAAAATAAGCCTGTGAGGGATTGGCCAGGCAGTGCTGAGGCCAGTGCAGCAAGCGTTTCTTGCAGCAGGATGGGACGGGGCTCTGGTGGGGTAGTGGTGGGGAGCAGATGTTCGTGTGAGCCTTCTCACCTGGGCCTGGCAACCTGGAGACTCTGCTGAGCCTCTCACCTGCCCCAGGACCTTGAGAGAGTTACATGTGCTCGGGCAAACTGGTGTTCCCAGCAGGTGAATGCCTGGCACCTGTCCAGGCTGAAGCTGTGTGGCTGCTTAGCACTGAGTGGCTCAGCATGGGGTAATCTAGCAGAGGATCTGGGTTAGAATCAAGGGTAGAGGAGGTGGCCCCTTAGGGGTGGGCTCTCTCATAGGCCACCTATGATTACGTAGGGATTACGACATGGGATTTCGGTTGTCAGATCTGGGTCAGAAATCTGGATCAGGAGTTCACTAGTTGTGTATTCTCCGGTGAGTTGTGTAACTTTCCCCAGCCTCTGCTTCTTGTCTATCAGATGGGGATATTGGTACTCACCCCAGGCTCCAAGGGCAGTGGGGAAGCTCACGTGGAACAGCCTGCCTGTCCTGCTCAGCATGGGCAGCTTCAGTTGTTGCTATCATTGATATGATTGATGTGTTCTGGTGTCAGCCATGCCTGCATCTTAAGGATTTCTCCTGCTCCACATTAACAGCTCTTTGGCAATACTCAGGCCTGTTAATGACACTCAATTACATTGTTAGGGCATTATGTAGGTTCTGATGCGCAGCTTGACAGTAAGAACAGTTCCTAGTCCTGGTGTACCTGCCATGTGCCAGCGCCATGCAAGGGCTGTGTTCCTCTTCCCCCAGTTCTCTGGAGAACTGGTATGACTGGCCCATTCACACAGGGAACCAAGGGACTTGTCTGTGTGACAGGCCCGACTCAGGGCTGAGTCAGGCCTCACACCGAGGTCCAAAACCTCTGTCCTTTCTTAGCATCACCCTGTGAGCTGGCAGGGCAGAAAGCTTCAGAACAAAATTCCCAGATTAATGGCTCTCATTAATGGTTCTGGGGCCCGAAGAGGTTAGGAAGCATATAGCAACCATGCTTAGCATTCCTGTTACATTTCATACAGTTTTTTAAGGCCTTTCACATCTACTGCTTCAACCACTCTTTACCAGATAACCTGTAGTCAGGCAAGGCAATGCCATTGGATAGTTTGTGTGGCTGCAGATCCATGGAAGGTACAGGAATGTAAATAGCCATGCTCTCCATTCTGTAGTGTCATGCAACTTGGAAAGCAGTGTGGGATGAGCTTGGGTCCTAGCGATGACGGATGCTAGTTGGTGAGTCCCTTTTTGCGATATGCCTCAGTGTACACAGTAGCTGCAGCTCTGTGTCCACCCACCCCAGCCTGGGACTGGCATGCTGTCTGGTGGCCAAGCATGAGTGGCATGGGGGTGACAGATTGAGCTTATTTACTAGGATTTCCCACATGGCACACAGTGAGCATCATATGCTGTGATCACTCTGAGAGCCCTAATTTCTGTCTCCAAGAGCTGAGAGTTTCAATACCGATCCAGCCAAGTGGTTATGGGAATCCTGCAAGGTCTCTTGGTGCCTCTGGGGTACTGCTAGCCTAGGGTGCCATACCCCCAAGATCCCCCTGCTTACTGTCCCCAACTCACTTTGTGCCCTCTGTGTACCTCTCTCTCTTTGCCCAGTGAACGGGAGCTTCAGCCACTGCACCCCGGCCTCAGAGAAGAGCCTGCTGGACCTGGACCTTGCTGAGGGCCCTGGCCCTACCTGCCGCCAGAGCCTTTTTCTCCCTGCGGGGTCACCCACGTCCCGAGGCCACCCCCCTGCCTGTGAGAGGCTACTGCATTTCCCCAACCCCAACAGGTATGTGCCCACCCCAGTCCCAACTGTTCCCTATGTACAGAGGCCAAAGACCAAGGGCCCCACCGCCGCACCAAATTTGCCTCCTGAGGAAGACACTCAGGGAAATGGAGGCAGCTGAAGGCCAGGGCCTGGTCACAGCCTGGTAGCACACAGATGGCTTCTAGGTCTAGGCCTGCATTGCCAGCACTTTTTGAGGACACAGGGGGTTTTCACTGAGATGCTTCTCCTGTTGTGCATCTGAGAAACTTTTCAGCATACAGTCAGCATGAGTCAAGCATCCCTACTCTGAAAGCTGGAAATCTGGGATACTCTAAAGCCTGAAATGCTTCACTGTCCAAAACTCCTGTGGCATGGTGCAGTCAGAACACAGAAAACATGGTATAAAATTATCCTCAGGCTGTGTATACAAGAAAGATGTGAAAGTCTGATTGCTTTTCTATTTCAACTTGGGCCCTTTCCCCAAGGTATCTCATTCATTAAATCTAAATACCCCCAAATTCAAAAACACCTGAAGTCTAAAATGCTTCTCTTCCAAACACTCTTCTAGCAAGCTGACCACCTCCCTGCACCATCTCTCAACACCATCAGCCTGGGCACCCAGCCTTCGGCATGGGAACCCTTGAGGGCAGATGACATAGAAACCATAGGAGGATACCTTAGTGCACTCAGAGTGCTGTCATCAAAAACCCACCGACTTGGGACTTCAACAGAACTATCCCATTAGAAATTCAAGACCAAGGGCCAACAGATTTGATTTCTCCTGAAGTCTCTCTCTTTGGCTTGCTGTGTTCTCACATAGTCATTTGTTGTTCTGCCATATGCACCCTGATGTAAATTTTTTTTTAATCTTCCATCCACTGGTGCTCTCCCCAGATGGCTGCAATAGCCAGAATTGGGCTGGTCCAAAGCTGGGAGCTAGGAGCTTCTTCCGGATCACCCACATAGATGCAGGGACCCAAGGCATTGGGCCATCTCCCACTGCCTTCCTAGGCCATAGTCAAAGAGCTGGATCAAAAGTGGAGGAATGGGGACTCAAACTGGCGCTTATGTGGGTTCTGATCTCCTCTTCTGCTAGGAATTGGTCAGATGTCTTACATTAGGACCCACTTGTAACCTCATTTAACCTTATTACCTTCTAAGATCCATCTCTAAACAGAGTCACCTTGGGGAAGGATTTCCGCTTCAGGATGTCACAGTGCACAGTTCGGCCTCTGGGGAGAAGCAGCATCTTTAGAGCTCAGGCCAGGCACTGAGAGGTGACTTCACATGCACCAGTTAGCATGGCCATTGGCTGAGGGGCCAGCAGTCCCAGATCCTCCAGGGAAATCTGTTTGATCTCAGGGTAAAAGCTGTGTGGATTCAAGAAAGTCCATCTTCGAAGCCTTATTTTTGTTGGAGACTATCAGAAAAATCATGTGTCATTTCAAATGTCACATTGACAACTTAATACATAGGAGTCTGCATCTAGAATCCTACACCGGTGTCCATATAAACCGCTGGTGCCCTAAAGTGGCTAAACTTTCACACACCTTTATTTCCCTAAAGAGAAGGCCACAGCCCTTACCCCACATTCAATCTGAATCCTGCCCCCTCACCTTGGATTACCTTGTGTTTGGAGGTCCCTGCTCTGGCTTCTGGAGTCCCCTCTGGATCTCAGGCTCTTTGGTCCACACTCTGGGTCCTATAGTGGCTGCCTCCCAAGGCTCTTTTCTTCCAACCCAACTCTAACATTTGTAATAAAGCCAGTTTCCACAGCCAAGGACCACAGACCCAGGAGGCCTGGTCCTGCCACCAGTGGGCCACAGTGTTGGCTTGGCTCTTTTCAGGAACTGAGGCTCTTAACCTGCAGCTGTCATGAAGTGGAGGAGCTTAGGCCAGAGGGACCATGTGGCCAACCCACAGACATTCAGAAGCTGTCAAGAAGCTTTAAGTGTACTCAGCAATGTCTTGATCCTATCCTTTCTGTGTGTATAGTGGCTGTCCATCATCACTATGGTTAGTAGAATGTTTTCAGTAAGGGCAGTTTACATCCTAACCCTCTGGGTGACCTTAAGCCAGATGCTAAACCTGCCCAGGCCTTGTTTCCATCCATGTAAACTGACCACAGATACAAAGTGAGCAGGCTCCTGACAGTATTGGTGGTGGGGAGGAGGGGCATGATCTGACCTCCAGTAGCTACCCTGGTCCTCTGCCCAGTCTCACCTCTCAGCCTTTGGATATTACCTGTTTTGTTTTCTTCCCTGACCCCCTATCTCTTCCCCACCTGTGGCTAGAGCTGGAGATGCCACAATTGCAGGGAGCCAGCAAGGGAGAGGCAAGCGCTGCAAGGCCACCTTGGACCCAGAGGGGCAGGCAGCTGCTGCCACAGCTCTGGCTGCAAAGGCCCCAGAAAGTGTGGCCATAGCCTTTACCCTGCTGTCCCTTTCCACAAGGCTGTCATGAGGCCTTCTCCCTCTGAGGCAGAGAGGCAGGGTCCTTGTTTCATAGGTGAGAAAACCAAGGTTCAGGTGGGCTGAGACTATGTGGGCTGTCCTAGTCAGACCTTGGCCATGCAACCCAACGTCCCTTCAGCCCAGCCAGCTAGAGGGAGCTATCTCTGGCTTGACCCATTGTCACCTGCCTGGCCTCTCTAGTGATGGGCAGGCCCTGATGATCTCTTTCTGCACCTAACCCAGGATGCTGCATGCTTCTGTGCAGGGGTCCTTGTCTCCAAGAAACTTGGCCTCTGGAAAGCAAGAAGCAGAGGTTGCTTTCAAGCATCCTGTGTGCCAAGTACATATTGAAGGCAGCCATGGTGGAAAACCCCAAGCTGCCCTTGGGAGGACCCCTGTGATGTGGCCTGAGTGTACACAGTGTGGATGAGGCTGAGCTGGCCTCACATCCAGGCTGCCTACCCAGTAAGCTGTCCTGCTGAGCCTGCCCTACAACCTTTTTCCCACATTGTAGTTCTGTGTCTAGGCTTGCTATTCTGTCCCTTCCCCACCACCTTTCACCAATGTCCCTGTGCTTCAAACCCCAACCCACCTGTATTGACCATGGAAAAGATGGTTACTCTGACACTTTTAGAAGTGAAGGAAGGTCACAGGGAGCTTAAGGAGAATTTGCAACACACTGGACATAAGTATTCTCCCTCATGCCAGCCTCAACCATCCTCCTTTAGAACTTGCTAGAAGATTACTGGAAAAAGGCATGCCTAGGAGATTCTAGGAGGCAGTGCAGGATAGCACCAGGGCTGGAGAGTAGGGCTGGGTTTTGGTAAAAGAATGAGACAGTTCTTCTTCCATGGCCACCCATGGAACTCCTTTCACTTCCTGTCGCTCTTGAGTCTGCCCAGCCCTGCTTCTTATTCCCTCCCCCTGCTCCCTCTCTATACAGGCTTCTCTGTTTTGCAGACAACCTGTCTCTCTTACTTGTTCTCTGCTTTCAGCCGCCAGCCTCCCTCCAGAACCCTGTTTTGGACCTTGCCATTCCTCCTTTTCACCTGCCCTGTCAGCCCTGCCTGACCCTCACTCAGAACCTCTCTTGCCACTGTCTTGCAGGTCACCTGGATCCCAAGCTGCATATGTGAATGGTGGCCTCCCAGCCACACAACGCATCAAGCAGGAGTCCCTGCCTGACTACCAGGGCATGGCTGAAGCCCACATGCCGCTGTCCCCCCACTGCCGGGCCCCACCAGCCACTGGCCTGCACACAGACCTGGGCCTTCAAGGTCGAGGCCTCACCAATTCCACACCTTCCTGCTACCTTTTGGGCAGCGAATCCAGCTCTGGTCTTGGACCCCAGCCTGAGGCCCCACTTTCTGAGGGCCCCTCGAAGCGCTGTTGCCTCTTGGGCCTGCCCTCCACCTCCTTGGCCTCCTCTTCATCATGTGCCTCCCCCGATAGCACCCCCATCATCTGCTCCTCCCAAACGGCCTTGGTCACCTGTGTCAATGGACTTCGGAGCCCCCCACTGCCAGTAGACCTGGGGGGCCCTCCAAAGCGGGCCCGGCCAGGCCTTGTGTCCACTGAAAGCCACGAGGGAAGCTTACAGCTCGAAGCCTGCCGGAAACAAGGCTTTTTGAAGCAGGAGCCTACGGATGAGTTCTCAGAGCTGCTCAGGCCTCAGCAGCAGGGCTTGCCACCGCCTTACCCGCTGACCCAGTTGCCACCAGGCCCAGGCCTTGGGGGACTGGGGCTGGGCCTGGCAGGCAGGATGGTGGCCGGGCAGCAGGCATGCCGCTGGGTGGACTGCTGTGCAGCCTATGAGCAGCAGGAGGAACTGGTGCGGCACATCGAGAAGAGCCACATAGACCAGCGCAAGGGCGAAGACTTCACCTGCTTCTGGGCCGGCTGCGTACGCCGTTACAAGCCTTTCAATGCCCGCTACAAGCTGCTCATCCACATGAGGGTGCACTCGGGTGAGAAGCCCAACAAATGCATGGTGAGTCCCTGACAGCTGCTAGGCCTCACCGCGGCCTGATCTTGCACAGCAACACCTATTTTGCAGTCCCAGGGAACTGGGATCCACTGGGTTGAGGAGGGAAGGCCTGATGCTGTGCATGTGGCCACTGGTCAATAAGGGTAGTGCTCCCATCGCTATAATCTGTGATAATGGCACAGGGCATCATCCTCCAGGTGCTGTGTTGCCTGTGCCAGGCCTTGGACGTTTGAGCCTCATCGTGCCACATAGCCTGATACCATGTGTACACAGGTTCTGAGGTCCAGCAGGCTTGGCTGGTCTTCTCACTGATGCACATATACTTTGTGTCCCCCTGCAATAGCCAGGTGAAGCTGGAGAGACTGCTCCCTAGCATTGCACCCGTACCTAACATTCCTTCCCAGGGGACTCCCTGGGCCTTTTCCTGGACCTGCCTGCTGTGTGGACTTCCATAGGAACAGTGGTACTTTATGTATATCCAGCATGAGATCCCTCTCCAGGACAGGCTTTGAGTTAAAGTCAAGGGCTAGTAGCTAAAACCTTGCTTAGTGCCAAGAATATTTTGTGGCATGAAAGAGATAGATCCACACATATGCACATAAGAAAACATATGTGCACACACACATGAACTGACTGGTTCTTTCTCTGTTGAGCTCTTGTGGGTGGAAGTCTCTGTCAGAGTCTGGAGCTTGTTCTGATTCCTGATATCCTTGCCTACTACTATGGCCTTAGATCAGCTGACCCACCAGGAGAGGAACTGCTTCGATGTGGCCAGGCAGGGTCTCACACTTTGTTCCATGAAACAAAGAGTATGGGTTGCCTTGGCCACAGCTCAGTCTCCTCAACTGCAGAAATAGCAGCACGGTGAGTGTGCAGGGGCCAGTCTTGTAGATCAGGTCCAGTCGTACCACACTTGCATGCTGCCACTGTTGCTGGGTGCTTTGTTATGGCATAGTCTGGGAAGGGGTGTAGCCTCAGGTGACATTTTTGGGAGCTGGGTAGGAAGTATTGACAAGGAGCCAGCAGTAGATTCCATCCTCCTTGGCCAAGGGTGGACCCTGGAGCTCCAAGGAGCTGTGAGCTGGGCATCCGGTGTTGTTGGCTTGGAGGAGGTTGGGTCTTGAAGGATGAGGAGCGTGCTTGCTAGGTGAATGAGCAGCAGGGACAGGAAAGAGCAAGGAGCCTAGGGTCTGTGATCTGGGGTATGAAGGAGTGATTGGGAGAGACTAAATAGAACAGGCTAAGAATTTGACTTTGTCATGTTCCTTTGTGTTTAATGTGCTGCAGGACTGATTGGTAGCTGGCCCTGTCCCTGGGATTCCCCAATTTATTTGGGCTCTTGTTGACATGTGGCATGTTGGAAGATATGCCTAGAAGGAGATAACCCATAAGCAGTGCCCATGGGCCAAGGCTGCTGGAAGACAGATGGGCCTCTGTCTCGACCCGAGACCCTGGAGTCTGCTTCCTGTCCTCTCTCTTGTGGGTGAACCCATTGGGGCCTAGGTGGATGGAGGCTGTGTGGCCAGAACAGATGTCATGATGTGGTCCATGTCCCTCTCATGGTAGAGCATCCCAGGTGGAATCATAGTACCCAGGAGTATCCCTGTTGGGCATTTGAACTTTGGAGATGATCTTGACCTTCTGGCCCAATTTGCAGCTTGGGAAATGGGGGCCCAATGAGGACCCCAAGGGGTTTGGGTTACTCAGTGTCATGCCTGTTTGGGACCTGCCACAAGTATTATTTGAGTCATTCCTAGAGGCTCCACAGGACTTGGGCTCAAGCCTAATTCATGCTGGACTGGGGGACTTAGTCTTGGACTTGCTGTGTTTCCATGACCTGGGTAGACACTTGTGCCCAGGTATGGATCCTTGAGCTAATTGGGGTCAGCATGAGTAATGAGTCTGGAATAGGATTTACATAGACCCTGGGAAAGGAGGCCAAGAGGGGCTTCCTGGAGGGAATTAAATCTGAGCCATGTTTACAGTCATCCTGCAAATGTCCTATAAAACCAAGGGAAGAAACATAGGCTCAACAGGGTCCACTTGACCTTCCCTTTGCTCCTAGGACAAAACCAGAGGTTTAGAGCTGTGGTGCTGAGTGCTTCTGAGTGCTGACTGTGCACAGGTGCTATTCTCAGTGGAAACTCTATGCTGTCCTCACCGCAGCACTATCAGGTAGATGCTGGTAACTCCCACTTTAGAGATGAGGAAACTGAGACCCAGAAACACTGCCTAATTTGCCACAGAGCACACAGCTAGCTAGAGGCAAGCAATAACAACTGCAACAAGAATAAAAGAAGCCGAGACTCACAATCAAGGTAACTTGCCCAAAGCTACACAGCTAGTAGCCACTTGAGTAGATTTTGAATCCACATCTTGCTAACCTGTAAAGTTCAGGTTTGTGTAGTCCTTTGGTTAAGGGATTCTCCCCTCAGGCTGGTCCTACCCTGCTGGATACTACCATCTGGAGTCAGCAGCCTCTCCTCCATCGCCTTGGCTTTCTGAGTCACTCCCAGAGTCTCTTGAGGCCTCCTCCTGCCCCTTGGGGCCTGGGATGCACCCCCGCCCCCACCATTGCTGGCATGGTCTCAGTAACCAGGGGAAAGGGTGGCCCCAACCTGCACCCAGATAAATAAAATTTCCCTTCTCTGTAGAATTATTAATTTCTCATGACAGCCTTGTGCTACCATACGCCGTAATAGACAAAGGAATTTTGGACCCAGAGCCTCTGGAGAACAGGAAATAGATGAGACATTTTGATGGAAGAGTAAATGGCCCACTAAAATAGCAGTTAATCCTTTTATTATCTTTCCAGCAGCCGTTTCCACAGTTCTTTCATGAGGTAAGCCTCCCCCAGCCCATCCAACTGGAACACTCCCATCCCTGCAGCTGGTTCAAATTTATCCTGAGCAGTCTCGCTCTAGCATGGGCCGGCCTCACTGTGCCCACAGGAGCAGCTCACTCCGGCCCGTGTGGTCATCCTCAAGCCCAGCCGTGGCCTGGGATGCGCTGGCTCTGGGCAAAGCTGCATCCTCCACCCCGCCCCGCACTCTGCACATCCTGGCCCTGCTGTCCGCAGGAAGTAGCCTAATCTCTGTGCAATATCCTGTTATGTTTCTTACGTTGCTGAGTTGTCTTAGCCTTATTAAATTTGGGGCTTCATCTGCGTTACGATAACAAGGTTACATCCAACCCAAATACTGACGCGACGCCTCGAAAACGTTAACTTTGGGAAGATTAATTTCATGCTTTCTTAGGTTGGTTCTCCCAGACGGGCGGAATGCTGATTGTCTGGGTCCGCAGAGGAGAGCAGACAACGTAGCCTCCTAACAACGCCCTGTCCTCCTTGGGTTTTGTGCATAAGGCGTATAGGGAGGAACTCTGGAGTGGGAAAGAGCTTCACCAAAGCTTTATGTGTATGTGTGTGTACAGGTGTAAAAGCCCAGACCCAAAGTCCCATACACCTGGGGCCCAGCCTGGCCTGCCCCTCACTGGCTGTGTGACTCAACCCAGGTGATACTCCCTTTTGGAACTGTAGAAGATTCAGTTGTGAAATGGGGCAATAGCAGAACTTGCTTTGTGGGGTGATGGTTGCTAGGGTGGAAAGGAATGGCATACCCCAGTCACATGCTTTCACATCAGTCAATTCAGGAAATTTGTACAGGAATCCCTAGAGATGAGATGGGATCATATGTAATTATGTTACAGATAAAGAAATGGATGCTCAAAAGAGCCAGCTGTCAGGGAGCCTGGACTTGACACCAGCAAAGTGGGCTGCAGGTTTCATGCAGGTGCCCCCATGGAGCAGTTTATCAGCTTCAGCCCCCAGCATCTACTAGGCAGCCACAATTCTCTGCATCTTGTTGCACTCTCAGTCTCTTGCAGGCGACCTGCTACCAGTCTGTGTCTGCACAGGTGCCTGGAGCCAGAATGCGGCAGTTAGGCTGTTGACATGGGGATTGGAGGAGGCTCTAGTTCATGTGCCTCTTCCCTACTGCAACCCTACCCCTGTCCTGCTGGGCAGCTAAAGTCTCAGGGTTGGATTTCTATCGTATGCTGGTCCACTGGACACTGGGCTCTAACCATTGTGTCCCTCTCCTCTGCTTCCAGGTGTGTCCCTGTTGTCTTTGAGCCAGGGACCAAGGAAATGCATCTAGTTTAGAGTGAACATAGCCTTTACTAGACTCAGAACAACAGCCAGTTGGCTGAGCCTTAATCTGGCCACCTCCTAGCCTGGCCAAACTTAATCTCACCACCTGTATGAGTCAGCTTCTTATTACTACAACAAATGTTTGCAAGAAGCTACTTTTGGTTTGGGAGATTCACTGTTCAAGATTTCACAGGTTCCATTGATTGAGCTTCTGGTGGAGGCTTTCCCTCAGGCAGAGTTTGAGGGGCAGCCCAAGGCATCACAAAGCAAGGAGGAGCGCCCACATCTGAATGTGTGTCTCACTAAACAGCTGATAGAGACCATCATGGAGGCCCCATCTGTGGGACGTAATCCAATCCACTCAATTCCCAAAGGCCAATGCCATTCATAGTAGACATAGGGGACCAAGCCTTGATCCAAACCATGGCATGTTCCATAATCTTGGAGCTCTGGCTTCTAATGCTGTATCCCTTTAGAAATGAAACTGGGTTCAAGGAGAGGTGGGTGGGATGAAGAGGTGCTGTCCTTTGAGGAGGTGGTATTGGGACAATACTTGTTCCCCAGGAAAAAAGGCTCTGTTTATTGCCATCTAAGTCCTTTACTTCAGGCTGTGTGAGATTCATGAAGTTGTGACAGTTTTTACACCTCAGAGATGGTCATGTCCACCCCCTGATCTGGTGCTTGGAGTTCTTCTCCAAGAGAGCTCAAATCTGAACTCTGACTTTGCTACCTGTTGGCCAATGATTGTGTGTAGGTGTAACTTAATTTCCATAAGTGTCAGTGATCTCTCCTGCGTGTGTGTGTGAGGGGGGGTCTGGTGGAGCTCCCGGTCAGTGGACACAGGGAGTTTATGACAATGGTTCTGGACAGCTGGCACAAGCAGAAGAGAAAAGGGAGAGTGAATAAATAATGGCTTACCAAACATGTTAGAGTGAGGATGGAAGTGAGCTGGACAACAAGACTGTGAAGCAGGATAGGTGAGGATTAGAAGGGTTGGAGGCTGGGTCTTGAAGGAAGTGCTTTTAGGTTCTCCTGGGGAACCTAACCGGAGGAGCACACCTATGAGGCTGACCCTTTGGGCTACAGGAGTACAGTTCTTTTATTGGAATGAGAAAGTCAGATAACATGTGTAGAAAAGGCTGCTAGAGGTCCTGGACTGGCTCTGTGACCTTGGACAGGTCATGGGGCTGTGCAAAGTGTCAGTTCCCTGAACTTGAGATAGGCTGATGTCCAGCACTCAGGGTTGCAGTTAACTGTGTTCAGCAGGGGCCCACTCCATGCTAATGCCCTTTCCAGTCTCAGCCTTAAGGTTCCAGCTCCCCAGCTACATGACTTACACTGTGAGGCTGTCCTCCTGCCTCTTCTATGTGTTAAAAACCAAGGTCAGGGTGTTTTATAAGGAGAGGCTCCCTAGAAGGCAGCATCCTCCCATTTCTCTAGCTGTGTGGTAAGCTCAGAGCCCTGGCAGCCCTGTTCTGGCCACAACTTGATGCAGATGGGCAGAGGAACTGGAGACAGATAGAGTGAGCGATCACAAGGCACTTGACCCCAAAGGGTCTCTGTGAGGGGTACAGGGCCATGCTCCAGCGATGACCCTGGGCCCCAGCTGAGCCCCTGACCCCTGTTGTACTCCTGTAGCCCAAGGGGTCAGCCTCATAGGTGTGCTCCTCCGGTTAGGTTCCCCAGGAGAACCTAAAAGCACCTTCAGGACCCGGCCTCTAACCCTTCTAATCCTCACCTATCCTGCTTCACAGCCTTGTCCTCCAGCTCACTTCCATCCTCACTCTAACCCTACCTTGTTTTTTCTCTTGACCCCCTTTTCCATGTTATTTAAACTCTGAGCCAGAGATTTGTCAGCCAAGGTGGACGCAGGGCTGAAGTGACCACAAGGGTTCAGGTCCAAGCTTTGCCCTGAACCAGTCACATCACATGGCTGTGCCCGTCTCTGGGCCTGAGCCCTGGGGCCCTGTGTGAGTGTGTGAGTAGGGAGAATGTTGTGAGAGCTCAGTGAGATTGTGGATCTGGAGTGCTTACCTGGTGTCTGGTGCATAATAAATATGTGCAGACAGCAGCAGGAGTCCTTGTTTGTTTTAAGTCTTCAAATCCAAGCTGTCACTGAGTTGTGGGTTCTTGGGAACACCAAACTTGAGGGAATAGGAATGCTGGCCAAGTTTTGTGAGCTCAGCGCAGCTTTATGGAATATGAAAAAAATTAAGGATAAAAAGACAACCTTCTGAATTGAATTTAAAATAATAAAAGAAAAAAAGCTTTGAATTCAATGTCATTGAAATTGAAACAGTTCTTCTATTGGAATGAGAAAGTCAGATAAAATCAACAGTGCTGCTAAGAAAGGATCCAGACTATGTCTCAGGTGGACCCCCTGGAACTAGCCTGCTGTGTGCTTGAGCAGGGCTGGGCTCTCCCTCCCTGAATGGCAGGCAGGTGGTTTAGCAGGGTCTGATGTGTGCGGGCAGTGGTGATGACAGACCTCAGCACTCTGCCCTCATCTCTTCAAGGGGTGATGGACCAGCCTGTGGTCATGGCCATGTGAACCAGATCCCCTGGGATGCAGAGTGGGTGGAGGGTTTTTCACAGGTAATCATGCAGGTAGGGGCTTTACAGGAAAGCCTCTCAGGGCAAGGGGTGAGCCCAGGCAAACACTTTGAGATGCGAGCCTTGACATACGGGGATGGGGCTAGGTAGCCTCTTAGATGTGCTTTGTAGACGTGAAACTGAGGGCTGGAATTGGGCCTCCAAGGGCCTGACAGTCCAGCATCATGAGCTTGGGCTCCATCCTAAGGCAGCATAGAGTCCCAGCAGGATCCTGAGCAGAAGAGTAGCGTGTTCAGAGACATTTAGTCATGTCACAGGGACACAGGAGGGCTGCAACATGCACAGAGGAGGACACAGGGCCTAGGAAGGAAGATCTGTCCCAATCTGGAGCTGTCCTCAGCTGGAGCCCCTGGAGTAGCCAGGGTCACAGGGCCCTGGTACACTTTGGCTGCCAGCCTGCATCTGGGTATCTTGGGATCCAGGATCAGTGAGGCCAGGGCATACCACCTGCACCCTTTGAGAAATGGAGCCCAGTCCTTCCTTGGAACTGATGTCTGCCACACTGGCCACTGGGAGATGGGAGCATTCTTTCTCATAGTGTGGCTCCATGAAGTTTGCAAAGCTGTTCTTTATTTTCCATCAGTCCCCACAATGAGTCTTCCACTGTTGCCAGGACTGTGTGGTCTGTAAGTGATTAGGGTGCTGATGGGCGTAAACCTGCCTCCTCGCCATGCATTTTTCCTGACATCAAGGGCAGTGATAAAATGAAAGGCCATCTCTGAAACTCCATTGCCTTGTGAATAGCAATTTCCCCTGGCTGGTAGGTGGCTACCTGCTCTTCTCCCTCCACATAACCACCACCAGTACCCCTTAGTGAGCCTGTGGGGTACAACCTCAGCACAGAGGTACCCTGTGCTACACTGTGGTATCCTCTGCTGTACAGGGAGCAGGGATGCACCCAATTTTGGTGGGTGAGCCATCTATGTGCTCCTTTGTATTCTGATATTCAGAAAGCAGGGACATTTTGAGCTGCAAGTAACATTTGTGCCTTGCTGGGCAGTAGCCTAGAATGCAAGAATCACATTTCCTGTGTTTGAGGACTGCACAGGCAGGGGTCTCTCCATTTTTTATGGCTGTCA